AAATGAAGCTCATGCTCCTCGCCGCCCTTTTTTGCCTTGCTGCCGCCGATGGGATGTGGTGGTTCCGTCATGGAGGCCAGAAAGCGGAAGGTAAGCGCGAAATTCAGGCCTATTAGACTACCAAACTAAACCTTCGAAATGTGACTCTAGAACCGCCTCTGGTTCATTACAAACTACCAAATTTAGACTGCAAAGAATATGAGGCGCTACAATCCGGCGCTGGCTGCGATGCCGAGACATGTGAGGGACTGGTGAGCATTTCGAATCTTGCGGATTCTGCTAACAAAAAATAAAATTTACATTACCACCTAGTAAATTTTAAGTGTTTCAACCTATTCTAGTCTTTAATTACGCATTTTAGAAACCATGCCCGAGGGTCCTCGTCAACGATGTTTGCCTGTGCCGCGAGGGTCTCGCCCGGAAACCTGATGGAACCTGCGTCCCAAAGGAAGGGTGCTCACCGCCCATGTTGAAGACCGATAAAACCAATTAAATTGCGTGCTTCTAAAGCAGCATAAACACTTGAATAAACTCTTTTAAATCAATAATCAATACCTTTGAGCCGCCTCCTACCAACCAAAACGGTACGAAGAGACCTGAGATAAAATAAATAAAAGTTTTGGCGAAATTTATAATTATTATTACGCAACCCTTTGAAAATAGAAAACGATTTGGAATCTTCCGCTAGAGTACGGTAGTGGATGCGATGCCATAACGCGCCGGTTTCGGCACACCAAAGGGGTTTCCGCAGAAAACCCACTTGCCTCTAACAGGGAAAGATGGGATCAGGGATAGTTACACCATTCGGACGTCCTTGAAATGACGGTTTTTGCAACAATCTTCACATTCCAGTTTTTATTTTAGCGCGATATTTTTTGAAAAACACTAAGGGACGGCTTCTGCATCTTATTAGCAGCAACTTCTGGTCGGTTTACATGGGGGACTTGAAGCAAATTGAATCAAGCACGCGCATGTAACCGGGAAATTTACAAAATGGCCTGTAAATGGTCGCGCAAAAATGGTGTAAGATTGCAGAAGTTCGCTGTTTCAAGGGCTAAACAAAAATCGTAAAATAAAAAGCAACGTCTCTTTATTCTTCACCCCCAATAAGGCATTATCACATGGTAAAGGTGGTCCGATTCGTTACCGTTATTCCGTTATTTTAGCGCAAAGATTGCCCTTTTCCGTACACCCTCACAAACGTTGCTTCATATTGTGCGTGGCCCGTGACCATGATTTTTACTTTTTTGGAGCTGTCTGATGTCTCACCCATAATCTTTGCTATTTCAGGTATGTCGGTGTATCGGTTCAAATCGCTGAATTGCCAGCAGTGCGGGCAAGCATTTAACGTCGACCAGAACCACCTGCCGATGTTTCTAAAGAGGTGCGCGAAGCTCAGTTGCCTTAGCTGCAGTGCGGTTCGATGCGGCTGCGAGAACGTCGTCAAGGTTTGTTGCGCTCGTCGTTTCGCTGAATGGGTGGATGCGCTGACGAAGATGGACAAGCTGGAACTTTCGGAGGATCAGAAGAACTATCAGACCGATTCACCCTGTCAAATATCGATTCCACAGGGCTGCAGCCGACTTGGAGATGAGCTAGAGCTGTACAATCGACTTGTGAGCGAATTGACGACGTTTCAGAATGACTATTTGCAAAAGGAAGCCACCAATCTGAAGAAAATCTGTCTCGAAAAAGGCATGGAGCTCGAGCGATGCCAGTTTGCGGCCATCAACTGCTCAGGTTGCAAACTGGAATGTTCCCTGGAGGAGCTTTTCAACTGCAAGGACTGCAAATCAACAATTTGCAACACTTGCCTCACCAAGGGACACGAGGGTCATGAAACAGTCGCTACGAAGTCGAAGGATATGTCCGAATTCATCTTCATTAAGACGACGAAGCGCTTCGACGCGCTCGTGGCCGGAAACGAGCGCAACATTCGCGTGTTGAACACGGATATTGGCGACAAGATGAAGGAATTTCAAGCCGCTGCCCAGGCCGCCCTCGATCGAATGAAGTTGGAGCCGGAGCGCTCGGTCGAACTCGCCCACCAGGTCAACGAAGCCGCCGACGAGTTCGAGCGTATTTGTGAGAAGGCGTATCCGGTGACGCGCAAGATGAACGACGAGTTCGACACGCTCATTACGCAGTTTGCTAAAATTTGCCCGAAACCTGAGGACGTTGATGCCTAAACAGTGCCTTCTCACGTCACCGATTTGCGAATTTTCATTGATCGTCTCAAATTTTGATTTATCTTGTTCGTTCGTGCTTGTTTTTTTGCTACGACTGACAATGAAAACGATCGTTTTCGAAAATTCCAACCGCCTTTTTTACGAATTTTAGTTGTTTGCTCAAAATTTATTTGCTCTTACTGCCTCGCTAATTATGTAGCTTGACTGCATTTTTCGTAACGTCTTGTTGAAAAAAGTTTCGCAATTTCCCGAATACGTATCCGCTTTCCTCATTTTCAATCGTTCTCATTTTCACTTCAATAAATTAAAACAATCTTTTAGAAACAATGAAGGGCCCGATCGCCATCCTGGGCGCGCGATCTCTACTCGGGCGGCATGTCGTCAACATCTTCCAAGAGCTGCACCCGGACATTGCCCTCGAAATGTGGACCCAGTCGGATGGTAAAAACACTTTTTTTCCACTTTTTATTCTGCTTTTTAGGTGTTGGCAACGTCAATTCAGTGAAACGTCTTATCGCCTGCATCTCCGAGGCCGAGCTGGTACTTTGAAAATTATATTCTGCAACTTTTTTCTTTTAGATCGTCAACTGCCATGAGGCGCGGGACCTGTCGATGGCGCCGGACCTCGAAGCCCTGTATTCTCACAATGAGCAATTCGTCGCCGAGGTCTTGCGCAACAGCACGGCGCCGATCATCCACATTTCGTCGACCCTCGTTCAGGTATCGAATTTACAGATTATTAACTTTTCGCGCTATGTTAGCTATTTCCACCCTTTTTAGTGCTCCGACTTCTGGCCGAACACCTACGAGCCGGAGCGCGAGGCCAGCAAGTACGAATCGCGTTGGCCGTGCAAGGTAAATTACGTTTTGAACTCGGTTCAACTTGATTTTAGGCTTACTGCAAGTCGAAACACCTCGCCGAGCAAGAACTGTTCGCCTCGCGCAGATCGGCCGTCGTCTTACGGTTTTTCGCTTTTATTAATTATGAAATTCTTCTTTAGGATCCCATTCCTATACGGCGAGGAGGACTGGGGCTCCCCGGTGACTGATGCGGTGATGGCCGCCAACATTTTCGGCTCGATCCCGAATATTGGCGATCGCGGCGGCGCTTTTCAGGTATTTTCAACACTCTTTCCTATCCAATTTTTAGATGGCTTATGCGGGCAACGTGGCGAACAAGGTACGACTCGCCGCCGTCGAATTGTTGAAGGGCTCGTTCCGGGAACGGGAGGTAAAACCTGAAAAACTGCTTTTTATAGTTTTTTAGATTATTATTGTTGGAGACGATACTCCGGTCGGTGATGTTTACGACAACGTCGTCGAGGCGGTGGCAAAGGTTTATTTTTCCTTTCTTCGCTTTAATTCTGATTTTTTAGAACCCGAAACGCCCAATGTCTACCTACAATCTGCCGTTCTTGCCGCTCTACTACCTCTACCTCGTCATCGGCTGGCTGCTGCTCGCCGTCAACAAGATCTTCGACGTCAGCGGCTCGTTGAGCAAGGTTTGTTTTGTAAATCAAAATCATAATTTCATTTTAGATGCCGGACCCCTCATTGCTGTACCTCATCTTCCATCACTGGACCTTCTTCAACACGAACAAGTCGACAAATCTGCTGCCCGACCACGAGGAGCTGTCCCGTGAATACGTTGTAAAGAAAAGCCGCGATCACTATGCCTTGGTAATAATTTCTAAAACTTCTGAAATCACCTTGCTTTCTTTCCAGATGAACCCGAATCGCGTTCGCACCAGCTGGCAGCTGCACATCGAATGAATCGCCATCTGATTTTCCCGTTACTGTATACCATTGTGTTTTCCTGTGATTATCTTCTCCCCTAACTTGCTGTGCTTTCATTGCCTGTGAATTTTCTATGTTGATTGGACGCCCTTCGTGCTGAATACAGATTTTCATCGATTTTCGTGGCAAAACGGAATTTTCGGTTGGAAACCACGAGGTATCTGCATCGAAGTATCTGAAAACATCGTGGGGAGAGCTTTTTCGGGGCAATTAGCAAATGACGCATGGTTTGCACGCTTTTGTAATGCGTTAATTAACATTTCAATACTGCTAAAGTATTTCTGATACCTTAACTTCGTAGGTGCAATCTTTTATTCCATGGTTTAAATTGATTTTAATAGTATAACAAGTCTGCGAGTTTCTAATCGCCATTTTAGTTCTACACAGCTCCTTTTGCCGCCAAAATGCCGGCCATGCTCGAGGCGTACTTCGATGATGGGCTCACGCGCCGCGAGGTGAACCGCCTGAGCACGATGATCGCCGAGGTGGTTTATTTTCTAAAACCACGCCTTTCCTTTTAGCAATACGGCCAGATCCGCTCGATCCACATCCGGTACAACGGGACAGAAAGAGTGCTCTTCAGAAAAGGCACTGCCCAGGTAGTTTGGGAGTTTTTCGAGCAACACTTTTTTGTAGCTCCTCACCCATCCGCGATTCCCTTGCGCCGGGGACGATTGCCCATACTGTGAGCAATATCTGGATCGATTTGAGGTGGACGTTCTCTAACACTGTATTTTTATATGTGCTGATTCCAGAATACCGGCGACCCGCTCCTCGACTTCACTTTGCCTTATGATACCACGTGCAAATCGGCCTCTGCAGTGAAGGAAAATACTATGCGAAGCTTCAACGAGGTTTCCGAGTTTATTTGTTTCTGTATCTTGATTTAGACGGTCCACAACTCTCCGGCCAACCGCACCGCATATTTGGATTGCACGCCTACAGAACGCAGCTCATCATTGTAACCGAGTAAGCATTTTACCCCAAATTTTTTTTAGTGATGGTTACTTGACGATGCGTAGCGGACTCGCACAAGTAAATTTGGACCAGACGCTTAACGGAATGGACATGGTATCTGCTATCGAAGAAACGTAATTTTGGGTCTTTTTTGGACACTTCGATCCTTTGTAGTGCCCTCCCTGATGATGATGACGACGATAGTGATGGTCAACACAACGCTGAAACTCCAGCTCCCCAAACCGAGATAGCGGAGACAGTGGAAAAATCGCCGCACACCGAACTCCACGATCATCACGAATCGTAACTTGTTGCGAACAAATTAATTTTTTCCTTTTAGGTCTGGCGTCGAAATCAGCATGTCCGTTGAGCCGCCACATGATACTGAAAAAGAAGAAGAAGAAGAAGAAGAGGTGCTGCCCGCCGCCGACGATGCGATGGACACCGAAGCGCCTTTTGACCCAATGTAAGCGTTTTTTTAACGCCATATCACTTTCCAGGGATCACTCGGCTCCTGATGCGATTTTCGACGAGGTGCGCGCAAGTTCCCCGAATAATTCGTCTGGCTACCAGGTTTTTAATTATTTTGCTTTGGCGAACCCATTTTTAGGGCTCCGGTTTCGACCCGGATGAGCTAAACGACATTGCTTCTCCATCCGGCAGCGCTTCACCAAAGTACGCCCTTCAGATTAGCTTTCTTGTCGTCTTTATTCGCTATTAGTGTATTTTTCATTATTTTGCAGCTCGTCCGTCCGTCACAGTAAGGAAGGCGTCGATCAAGCCGTCGTCAAAGACGAACAATTCAGCTTCGAACCGTTCAACCTGTCAGCCCGGTGAGTGGGTTTGGCCTCGCTTTGAAAACTCTGCTTTTTTTATTTGTAGGCCACATTTTTTACGTTTCTGAATGGATTACGTTACTAAAAACCGCTTTCTACGAGGGGACCATAAAAATAAAGCAATCTCCTTTTTAGTGCCGAGGGAAACTCGTGCTTCGAGGTCTCGATGAAGGGCATTTTCCCGGAGCGCGAGCTTTCTGGTCTAATGGTTCGTCGTTTGGCTTTTTTTAAGACCCTTTTTAGCACCAGCTTCTCGCCGAACGCACACTCCAGGTCGCCGATTTCCCGGAGATGGCAGCGCTGCTCAATCAGGATGACCTGGTGTGATTTTTCAAACGTATTTCAACTTCTTTTCAGGAAAATGGTTTCGATGAGCAAAACGACGATAGGGATGGTGAGCCGGAGAAGCCAGAGTCGGACGATCACGGCTTCGACGACGATTCGTTCGACGATTGCCACGGCGAAAGTGGAGATGTGCCCCTCAACGAGGCGATCGAGGCCGCGCAGCGTGGAGATTACATACAGGTCGAAACTTTATAAATTTTTGTTAGTAAAATACAAAGTATTTATTTTCCGACCAAGAATGGCCGATTTGCGAGTTTTCAAAAATTTTTATGCCACCCCCTGCGATAATGCCAAAGAACCCTTTATTGCTTAATTTCTTATTCCAGCAATCGATGATCTCAGCCGCTGCTCAAACAAACCCAGTTGACCAATCGCAACAGACGGTAAAACGCCCTTCGCTTTCTTAAATAGATTTTTTTTCAGCCAACCGGTCCGACGCAACGCCAATTCGCCGACCGTCTGAAGGGCATCGCCTGCTCAGTTGAGGCACCGGAAACAAACTGACCCCAATAAATTGTTGTTTAGGCGTGCCGCAAACAACGCACCAAGTTCAAGTCGGTCCGGCAGGTGCTTGAGCATCTACTCGGCCGCCACGCGAAATGCTCACTGCCCAAGAAAATCCCCAAGATTTGGAGGTACACATTTATATAGTTGAATAAAATGATTCTTTAGGTGTGAAGCGTCGAAGCGCTGCCGTTTCACTTCTTTCTACCGCCATAACCTGCTCGCCCACACCAGAACCCGTCACCCACAGGCTGGCACGAAAGTGGTTCCTACACGGGAGCAATGGTTGGAAATTTATGATTGTTTAAAAACCTGAAAAGGACAAATTTTATTCATTGGGCAGATTGACGTATTCTTGGTATTAGTTCAGTGTTTTTACAAATTTTGACAAGCTATAATTAATTTTACGGCAGTGGTGTAATAAGAAGTTTTATTGCTTGAGTGCATCACTACGGGGTGGAGGATAAGACGTTATTTTGCTCAAAAGTATTCGGGAAATGATATCTCGACAAATTTGACGTCAACAATATAATTTTCGGGAATATTCAAAAAAAGTTTTAACACTTTCTATCGAATAGATTTTGGATTTCAGGCACCCCTCCGCACTGCTGGCCGTCCGAGACGCCGCCCGCCACTACTTTCCCGCCATCGAGAATCGTGTGGAAAAGTAGGCCAACTTATCGTTTGTCTTAACTTTCTTTTCTAGGTACCTCGTCTGGATGATCAAGTCGGGCCAAGTGGACGTCGACCCCAACCACCCGCTGCCCTCATAAGCCTTTTTTCAACGCCGTGTTTTGGTCTCCTTATCGTTGTTGAAATGCCATTAGTTTTTCACTTGTGATTTACAAGTCTCTAACGAACCGTTGTCAATATAGCTTGTCTGTTTTCACACAATGTGTAGAGGTTTCCATCTTGTAACCATTTCCCGTTGTTCGCCTTTGTGCATTGTCCACTGTACGATAAAGTTTTACATTTTTCCGCCTTCTTTGCCGGTAAAAACACCTCTTGACGTGTAAAGTATTTTCTGATATCTTAAAGTACTTTTGAAGCTGTATTATTCCATCGTTTAGCTTAATGTTATTAGCGTAGCAAGTAAAAAAGTGCTAATTCTCTTTTTAGTTGTAAACAGCTCCTTTTACCGCCGGGATGCCAGCTATGCTCGAAGCGTACTTCGATGATGGGCTCACGCGCCGCGAGGTGAACCGCCTGAGCACGATGATCTCCGAGGTAATGCATTACCAAAAAGCACACCTTTTTTAGCAATACGGCCAGATACGCTCGATCCACATCCGGTACAACGGGACGGAAAGAGTGCTCTTCAGGAAAGGCGCTGCTCAAGGCCAGGTAGTCGGAAAGGATTTTTTGAGCACGAGTGTTTAGTTCCTCGCCCATCCACGATTCCATTGCGCGGCGAATGATTGCCACTACTGTGAACAATATTTGGATCGGGTTGAGAATACCTGCGACACGCTCCTCGACTTCACTTTGCCTTATGATACCACCTGCAAATCGGCATCTGCAGTGAAGGAAAATACTATGCGAAGCTTCAACGAGGTTTTCGAGTTTACTTGTTTTTGTATCTTGATTTAGACGATCCGCAACTCTGCAGCCAACCGCACCGCATATTTGGATTGCACGCGTACAGAACGCAGCTCATCATTGTAAGCGAATCACATTTTTTCCAAATTTTCTTCAGTGATGGTTACGTGACGGTTCGCAGCGGATTGGCAGAAACTTTGGACCAGACGCTCAACAGAATGGAAATGGTATCTGCTATCGAAGAAACGTAATTTTTGGGTTTTGTTTTGGAATGTTCTATATTATTTTAGTGTCCTGGCTGATGATGATGGTCAACACAAGGTTGAAGCCCGAGCTTCCGATACCGGGAATGCCGAGGCGGTGGACGGGTCGACGAGCGCCGAACTCCACGATCATCACGAATCGTAACTTGTTTAGATCGGTTTTACTTTTATTTTAGTTCTGGCGTCGAAACCACGTCCCATGAGCCGCGACAGGATTCTGAACAACGAGAAGAAGTAGAGTTGCTGCCCTCCGCCGACGATGCGATGGACACCGAAGCGCCGTTTGAACCAATGTAAGCGTTTTTTAACGCCATTTAAGTTTTCAGGGATCGCTCGGTGTCTGGTGCGATTTTCGACGAGGTGCGCGCAAGTTCCCCGAATAATTCGTCTGGCTACCAGGTTTTGAATTGTTTCGATTTGACGAACGCATTTTCAGGGCTCCGGTTTCGACCCGGATGAGCTAAACGACATTGCTTCTCCATCCGGCAGCCATTCACCAAAGTACGTCCTTCAGATTAGCTTTGTTGGCTTTCTTTATTCGCTATTAGTGTATTTTTCATTATTTTGCAGCTCGTCCGTCCGTCACAGTAAGGAAGGCGTCGATCAAGCCGTCGTCAAAGACGAACAAATCAGCTTCGAGCCGTTCAACCTGTCAGCCCGGTAAATTGATATTCCATTTTGAATTTTTTTCAGTGCCGAGGGAAACTCGTGCTTCGAGGTCTCGATGAAGGGCATTTTCCCGGAATGCGATCTTTCTGGCCAAATTGTTCGTCGTTTCGCTTTTTTTAGAACATCTTTATAGAACCGACTTCTCGCTGAGCACACACCTCAGGTCGCCGATTTCCCGGAGATGGCGGCGTTGCTCAATGAGGATGAGCTGGTATGCTTTTTGGAAGCGTTGGGTTATTCTTCTTTTTTTTAGGAAAACGGCTTCGATGTCCAAAACCACGATGGTCAGGATGAAGAGCCCGACAAGTCGGAACGGGGTGATGACTGCTTGAGCGACGATTCGTTCGAAGATTGCCGTGACGAAAGTGGAGGTGTGGCCCTCGACGAGGCCATCGAGGCTGCGCAGCGTGGAGATTACAGACAGGTTGGGTGTGATTTTATTAGGTGCTTTCGCATTATTACGGGGGGAACCAACTTTTCCCTTTTAGTATTGATTTTTTAACCTGTTTTTTTTTTATACTTGATGCTAATAACAATTGTTTTTGTCAAAAAAGCAAAAAAATCTATTAGAGATGAAATGGTTAAATTAAAATCCTTGTAGGTTCTGTAGCAAGTTTTTCCACTTGAAGTATGGTTGAATTTTGCTAAAAACAACGAAAAATGGCTATTACGTTGCTAGGAGCCTCTGAATTTTTTGAGGAGAATTAATTTCGTTAGATCATGCGAAAGCCCTTTACTCTACATACTGATTTACGTATTTTGTACTTTAGCAATCGAACACCTCAGCCGACGCTCCAACAAACACGGCTGACCCGGCAGATCAGCCTGAAAAGACGGTAAAACACCCTTGTGTTTCTTATACCGATTTTTTCAGACAGCCGGCCCGACGCAACGCCAATTCGCCGACCGTCTGAAGGGCATCGCCTGCTCAGTTGAGGCACCGGAAACAGACTAACCCGAATAAATTGTTGTTTAGGCGTGCCGAAAGCAGCGCACGACGTTCAAGTCGGTCCGGCAGGTGCTCGAGCATCTACTCGGCCGCCACGCGAAAAACCGACTGCCCAAGAAAATCCCAAAGATTTGGAGGTACACTTTCAATCGGGTTTTCAGCAAATGATGCTTTAGGTGCCAAGTGTCGGAGCACTGCCATTTCACGTCCTTCTACCGCGGCAACCTGCTCGCCCACACCCGAACCCATCATCCGAAGGCTGGCACGAAAATGGTCCCCACGCGAGAGCAATGGTTGGCGGTTTTTAAACTATTGGTTTTAGGAGCTTGTTTGTTATCGGGGGAAGAAAATTGTACGGGACTATTTGTTGGAAGACTTCGATTGCCAGAGTATTCGAAAATCTTTTTGAATGCCTAAAAATGACGTATTCTATTATGTTTGATAAATTGCTTCTTGGGGATTAATTCCGTTTTTTTTATAAAATTTAGAGCCTTATAATTATGTATTTTGGACTCAAATGCCGGTACGGAGGCTGTAATAACATTTTGTTGTTCATGAGTGCGTCACTACGGAATGTAGAATAGCCGTTTTTTTTCTTCAAAATGATTCTTCGAATTGGATTTGCTATAAGATCAATTTCCACAACTTTATGTCAACTCGAACTCGAATTGGAATTCGGGGTTACGGCAAACCCAAAGAAATTTTTGTTTTGACACTTTTAATCGTTTAAGTTTTGAATTCCAGGCATCCCTCCGCGCTGCTGGCCGTCCGGGACGCTGCCCGCCACTTCTTCCCGACCATCGAGAACCGTGTCGAAAAGTAGGCCAACTTATCGTTTGTCTTCACTTTCTTTTCTAGGTACCTTGTCTGGATGATCAAGTCGGGCCAAGTAGACGTCGACCCCAACCACCCGCTGCCCTCATAAGCCTTTTTTTAATCCCGTGTTTATGTCTTTTTATCGTTGTTGAAATGGCATTATCTTGTAATTAGCTTTCACTTGTGATTTACAAGTCTCTAACGAACCGTTGTCGATATACTTGTCTCGTAGCTTGTCTGTTTTCACACACTGTGTAGAGGTTTCCATCTTGTAACCACTAACCCGTTGTTCGCCTTTGTGCATTGACCACTTTACGATAAAACTTTACATTATTTACGCTTTTATTTGCCAGTTCTTCAATACGGCTTCGTGCTGTTGATTTTCCGATTCCTTTAATTAACATGCAAGTAAGTAATGCGACTTCCGGTCACCCAAACGTCATACGTCTGGCGCACCGTTCTGCTTGACCAGCTACAGTACCCAATTGAGGATAACCTACCTGGAAGTGATGATCCTCGATCATGAAGGAGGAGATTCTGTGATGAGGCCCGGCCATTGCACTCCCCGGTCAGGCTGAACCACAACACCATCCCCCAATAAGGGATCGTGTACTTTCCAATTTTTGAGTGAGGGTCCCGGGCGGTAGCGGGGACCCTGCTAACACCGAGGTGACCGGAAGCTCGTTCTATCTCTTTCACATCCGTTGTGCACTCCCTTGGGGGGAATGCGTTCCAAAATTTGTTCGAAACACTCTTTTGAGGAGGTCTCGGGGTTAATGCTAACCTCAAACTTGGGTAATTAAACCGAAGCTGAAGAGGGGTGACTGCTTTTCTCGCCTGTCGCTATCCTAGGCTTGTATCCCTCAACGGGCAAGCGCCCAACGAGCGATCTCTCGTTGTCTGGGTCCCCCTTGACACCTATCCACGCTCTCTCAGTAGCAGCAGGCGGCTCCATTGGCTGTAGAGACCGCAGACAACGAGATGATCGCTCATTGGGTGCTTGCCCGGTAGCAGACATGGAAGGAGAGCACCGATAGGTGTGAAGAACAGCCACCACTGGACAGCTTCGGTTTAATTACCCAAGTTTGAGGTTAGCATTAACCCCGAGACCTCCTCAAAAGAGTGTTTCGAACAAATTTTGGAACGCATTCCCACCAGGGAGTGCACAAATGAAACGATTGGAAATCGATGGATTCCGTGTTTTCGAGGTGGCTTCAAAATGCAAGATAAGAAGAGAAAAAACCTTAAATCGCAGCGCTAACGTAGAATAAAATGCCGCGCGCTAAAACTCTGCAAAAAGCCTACGACACTCGGGATTCCCAAGCCGTCTCCGATCCAAGTACTAACCGAGCCCAACGTTGCTTAACTTGGCAGATCGGACGGGATGCCGTGCTTTCAACGTGGTATGGTCGTAGGCGATCGGGAAACGGGGTGGAAGGGTGGAAAACACTAAGATCCGAGCTCGCGAGAATCCACCCCTTGGGCCTGTTATTTTTTGTGTAAAAGGTCTGCCTGTTTCTTACTTTAATACACTTGAGTTCGATGTATCCTTTCGTGCCCTTTAAGATATCGCAGATCGCGATTTGGAAACACAATTTATTAAAAAGATTTCCTGATCATCGCCAAGGGATTGGGACGCACTCATCCCTCTCTTTGACCAGCTTGTAGCCGTTGCGCACTTTTACCGCCTCGATGCCGACGCCTCGGCGATTCTGGGCAACGTAGATGTGAATGTGGTCGAAGCGGGTCGCTTCGTGGGAGTCATTCTTCTCCGAAAACTGGAAAAAAGGTAGCTGGGATTTACCATTATGCGCTGCGTGTTGGGGTACCGAAAAAAGCCTTGGGGAAATGCACTGCCACAAAATCTATGATTTAGCCTCACCAACCTGGGTGTGCCGAAAAGCTGTGGCCTCGTCGTTGGGGCCAATCTGCGCTTTTAGAAGGTTTCGAAGCTTGTCGGGGAGCTGGTATTTGGGCTGAGATGCCATTTTTAAGTTTCAATTTTTGGATGCCATCAAACCGTCAACGCTCCAATTCGGTCCACGGAGAACGCCATCCGGAACGTCAGGAGTCGGCTGACGCCAGGGAGTGGGCAATGCTAAATTGCACATCTCTCGTGCGATCTCGGTCTCTCTCTCACTCACTCTCTCTCTCTCTCTCTCTCTGGCTCTCTCTCTCTGGCTCTCTCTGTCTTTCTCTCTACCTACCGTAACCAAAGCAGCTTCCAGTATTCCCACCACGATATCCGTATTATCCTTCCAGGTACCTTTCCTGCTGAGCCACACCGAAAGCTCAGAGATATGCGCCACCTGGATTAATGATTAGTGATTTTTCAGAGAAACGTGATGATTCACTACTAACAACAACAACCATACTATTCCGTAAGCGGCGTACCTCTGCAAAAATCAACCCATATTCATCATCTGTGAGCGGGGCTCGCCAGGCAGTCCGGTTGTCTCCAAATTGGAGTGAAAACTAAATTCGGGGAATGAAGGGGGCTATGAAGCCATGACAAGCCGCCAGTCTTTGGTTTCTAGGAATTAGCGCAACGCGTCTGCCACGCTACAGTAGTAAAATCGAGAGCAATGCCTTTACGGACCCTTTAAAGGGATAGGGAAGGAAATGACGATGCAAAAAATGGTCTGAGAGTGGGCGAGGCGGGAGGGAGCAGCGAAGATTTATGCTAATTATGCTTTTCCTGGGCGCTCCGGATCCGTTTAAAGGGCCTGTGAAGCTTGCCAACCGTGATGCTTTACTGACCTTCAAAGGTGATAATTTAAATTTCCCCTACCCGATATGGCTGACGGGCCAGTTGTCGTTCTGCATGCAGCACAGTTTTGAAGTCCTCGGCCGTCTCTGCCATGCATCCCGTGGCAAATGGCCATCGCAGCACGTCTAACGCGTCGCGTATCGGGCCGCCACCCTAAACGAGTGCGTCGAGCCAAGGCGAGAGGGAAAGAGAGAGAGAGAGAGAGAGAGAGAGAGAGCGGCTCATGTAAGACACCTTTAAAGGAGCGGTGACACGAAATAAAGTATGAATAGTTAATTACCCACCACCTGTTCTCGGCTCGAGTAGCAGAACGTGACCAATTGCGCGTGCGCGGGCGCTAGTAGTCGGTTGATAAACTCCAATTCTGCCCCTTCCGACTCGAAGCTCTTCCTGGCGTTGTAGTACGAGAAGTTTTTCCTTCAAACGCGTTTTAGGCTGAGATAGGAAACGGGATTAGGTATAAACTGTGCCTAGTATGCGTCAATACGTAGGAGAGCCTTACAAAAATGATATTTTCGTTATTAAAATAGTGATTTTGTAAAAATTTCGGTTTCCGGTCCCACAAAAGCCGCGAAGCGTTTTTTTCCACCTGGTACTTTATAATTAAACTTGCATATTTAGGAATACGAGCCCCAAAGGTGGCCCAAAATGCCCGACGTTGACGGTTACATCCAAGTGCGTGTGCCCGATGCCGTCATCGATCGTGATCATGATTTCGTTGTAGGGGTCAAGCCTCCGATAAATCTGGGATAAATTCGTGTTAAAGTAGGGGCACACGTGTTGGTCTATTTAAGGCTCATTACGAACCCATTCCGGTCGTGGCGTCTCGACGTAAATATTGTTAAACCTTGTACCAATAATCAAATGGTGGGCCGGTCTTTGGTGGAAAATCTGACATCAGAAAAGTCGGGGTAGCGTTATGTGAGGATACCCTAGCGACCAGACGCAGCTTGAACTTTTGCCAAAAGTCGATCCGGTGGTAGACGGCCGTTTTTTGGGTTTCCGAGAGGTCGAGGAATGGGAATGGCACTCGGCTTTTCATGCTGAAATCAAATAAAACGTTCGCTTGATCGAAAATGACGACTTCAAAGGGACTAGGAAACGCGAGAATAGACTAGGACAGCAAGAACGCACATATCGCTCCATTTTAGTAACAAAAAATCGTAAAAACCCGGAAACGCAAAAAGTCTAGGATCCTGTAGGTTTGCAAGGCGTAATCGGTTGAGTTTAGTCGGTAAATGTCGGCTGCACCACACTTGACCTCGACTGTTTCAAACCACGCGGGTAATTATAGTGCGGCGAGCTGAATTGCACGCATTAATGGCAGCCGAATCCGAATTGGTCAATCAAAAAAACCGATTACGCGACGAAAATAGAACCGGACATCTTATAATTTTTCAGTAAATTTATCGACCTGATACCCATGATTTGTAACCTGTTTTTTTTGTACTGGGCACACAGTGTGTTTTCTTCTGTATCCTATTACTTTTATTAATTAGAACCGGATGCTATCCAGTTTGTGACACCTCGACCAAGATTATTTTCGGCGTGTAGCGTCGAAACAGTCGAAAAATGTTGAGCGATGTTGAGCAAACACCTAACGAGCGATCTGTCGTTGTCTGCTGGTCTCTACAGTCAATGGAGCCGCCTGCTGCTATTGTGAGAGCGTGGATAGGTGTTAAAGGGGACCCAGATAACGAGAGATTGCTCGTTGGGCGCTTGCCCGTTGAGAGATCCAAGCCTAGGATGCCGACAGGCAAGAAAAGCAGTCACCCCTCTTTAGCTTCGGTTTAATTACCCAAGTTTGAGGTTAGCATTAACCCCGAGACCTCCTCAAAAGAGTGTTTCGAACAAATTTTGGAACGCATTCCCCCAAAGGGAGTGCACAAATCAGGTGAAAGAAAGGGAACGAAATTCGATCGTTTTTTTATATGATGCTCGGGCTTTGGAGCCTTTATTATGTTCATGATATCGCGGTTCATTCTCTGAATTCTGCCTCGGTACATTCCTCCCTCTTTGTGCATCTACCGTCTGCTCTTCTGACTAGATGCGCCTTGCACAAGCAAATGTTCGACATCACGCCGCGGCATTCACTCTGGGCGATGTTTTTTTAAATATCTTCGGGCTAGAGAGAGAGAGAGAGAGAGAGAGAGAGAGAGCCTGTGAGGGAAGCGAAAACGCATTGTTTCAAGCCCAAGAAAAACTACCTGGTCCACACGTCCACTGCATATTTCGAGATCGCATGGGCCGTTTTGGCGGAAGAACACCTCCCCCGCGATGCAGTCTTTACATAGCATTTTTTTTAATTGACCTGTTCACGTGGGTCGGAATTGAGACATTTTGAAATTCTGATAGCAAATCATTCAATTACTCACCTGCCTGTTTTTGATCACCGTAGTGCCAGTAATATGGCTGGGAAGCGCCAACCACGCCGACGAATAGAAGCACCCACTTCATCGGGCTAGCGAAGCTACAGGAACCGGGAGGGGCAGCAGGTGTTTCACAGCGGAAATTTCGAAAAGCCGAAAAAGTCGAAAGTAGGTGAGTCGTTCTGGCTGTTCGATTGAGGGGGTATGGAAGTGGTCATGTGGATTCAACGAACTCCTCATTGGAATGCAGGTCGAAGCCGGATGCGCCCATTTTGTTATGTAAGAAGTTCTAAAAGAAGAAAATTCAGCGAGAGAGAACGAGAGAGCGCTAACGTACAATATAAATATGCACTCTAAAACTCCGCAAAAAGCCTACGACACTCGGGATTCCCAAGCCGTCTCCGATCCAAGTACTAACCGAGCCCAACGTTGCTTAACTTGGCAGATCGGACGGGATGCCGTGCTTTCAACGTGGTATGGTCGTAGGCGATGGGAAACGGGGGTGGGAGGGTCAAAAACACCAGGATCCGACATCGCGAGAATCGGCCCCGGCGCCTTTTATTTTTTGGTAAACGTGATCCCTGTTTCTGACTTTAGTACTCTGCAGTTTGATATCCCTTTATCTTTATGATATCCAGATAGCGATATCCAGATAACGATTTATTAAGAAGAAATTCGCTGATCATCGCCATGGGATTGGGACGCACTCATCCCTCTCTTTGACCAGCTTGTGGCCGTTGCGCGCTTTTACCACGTGGATGCCGACGCCTCGGCAATTCTGGGCAACGTAGATGTGAATGTGGTCGAAGCGGGTCGCTTCGTGGGAGTCATTCTTCTCCGAAAACTGCAAAGAATTATGAAGCGCATGACGCACGCGTCTGGAAAACGCTATATATAGCCACGGAAACAGAAACTATTCATACGCCTTGTAGGCCCTTAACTCGAAAGTGCCAACCTGGGTATGCCGAAAAGCGGTGGCCTCGTCGTTGGGGCCAATCTGCGCATTTAGAAGTTCTCGAAGCTTTTCGGGCAGTATGTATTCGGGCTGAGATGTAATTTTTAGGTTCGATCGATTTCGTAGCTGTCAACAAACCGTCGGCGTTCCATAGCGGGCCATGGTGAACGTAATGCGGAACGCCAGGAGTCGGCTAGCGCCATGGAGGGGACGATGCTAAATTCGGTTACCTCTCTCTCTCTCACTCTCTCACACTCTCTCACTCTCTCACACTCTCCCTCTCCCTCTCTCTCTCTCTCTCTCTCTCTCTCTCTCTCTTTCGCTACTTACCTTAACAAAAGCCGCTTCCAGTATTTCCATGACTATATCCGTCGTATCCTTCCAGTTACCCTTACCATTTCTGCTTAGCCACACGGATATTTCGGGAATGTGCGCAACCTAGAACACTGTATCTACGATGTTGATTCTGAGCTCCAGAACCTCCGCGAATATCAGCCCATATTCGCCATCAGTAACCGGTGGTCGCCAAGCAGTCGCCCCGTCTCCAAAACTAAGCGAAAACTAAATGGTGGGCATTAAAGAGGCTGAAAAATCATGCTCAGCCGCCGCTACGCCTTTGATTTGACACTAACGCGAGGCGACCGCGCCGTCAGCTTGCTAGCACTTTGATTAAACGTGAAAACGCGTGAATGCCTAAATTTGATGTCATTTCTCGCATTCTTCGGCGGTCTGTGATAAATTATTCGACCTCTTGTCATTATCAAAATTTTCGATTAGCACTGACGGCTTTTTCGGTGGTCGTTAAAGGGCGTACGCGTTGCGGCTCGCGGTCTACAGGACCCAAGTGGAAGCCCCTAGGGTATTTGAGAGTTTTTCGCCGCGCCGGCGCGGTTGGGGGTCATGGTGTTGTGGCTGGCACTCTGGGCTTTGGGGTGAACCATCGCTGGTTCGACTCCGGCTCGCTGCAAAACACTTTGCTTTTTCGCAAAATGCATCTTTCTCGAACCCTTTAAGCGCCAGAGCTTTTGTGAGCTTTCAGGGCTGTAGGCTGAACTTTCCATACCCTAGTTGGCTGACGGGCCAATTGCCGTTCTGCGCGCAGCATGGCCTTGAATTCCTCGGCCGTCTCTGCCATCTGGCCGGTGCCGAACGACCCACGCAGCACGTCCAACGCGTCGCGTACCGGGCCTCCACCCTGAACAAGTGCGTGGAGTCAAGGCGAGAGAGAGAACGTGAAAGAGGTAGATAGAGTGCGGCCCATGCAAGGCGCCTTAAAAGACCCTTTAAAGGAGCGGTGAGACGAAAACATTATGAAAAGCCAGTTACCCACAACATTTTCGCGACTCGAGTAGCCGAACAACACCATTTGCGCGGCCGCGGGCGCTAAGAACCGATTGATAAACGCGATCTCGTCGCCCTCCGACTCGAAACGCTTCTTGGCGACGTCGAATGACATTCTATGTCTGGAGCTCAATTTACTTATATATACCGCTACAACGGACTCACACATGCCAGAAAATCAACTTCAGGTGTGTCCCAAAATGACCGACACGGACATATATATTGGCGCGTCCACTATCGGTGGGGATCATGATTTGGTTGTATGGGTGGAGCCTCTCAGAAGCCTATATTGAGTGTTTTTGAGAAGTAGGGGTTCATGTCCTGACCGGCCAAGACCTGGACAAAATTTTGGATTTTCTTGTAAAAAAAGTAGCGAATATTCTGATGACGATGACAAAAACTGACGGCAGATTCGGAATCAGCACAAAAAAGTGGTCTCTATGAACTGTCATTCATTGCAGGGTTTTCATGAGGTCTTATTTCTTGAGTTTTTGAGTCTCGCAACGTACCGCTTCCGCCTTTGGTTTCGAGATTTGAATAATGCTGCCAACTCTTGTGCCCATCAGGAAATGGTGGGCCGGTCGTTGGTGGAAAATCTGAAATCAGAAAAGTCAGGGTGGCGTTGATTGAGGATACCTTAGCCACTGGGCGCAGCTTGAACTTTTGCCAGCAGTCGATCCGGTGGTAGACTGCCGTTTTTTGGGTATCCGTGAGGTCGAGGAATGGGAAAGGGGCCCGAGTTTTCATGCTGAAATCAACAGAACTCTCAGTTGCTGGAAAACGACAACTTTAAAGGGCCTAGGAAACGCGAGAATCGACCTCTATCGTTAGCTAGGCATCTACCGCCACGCTAACTTTATGGAAAAACGGATTTTCAAAGCGTAGCGAATTTAGTTCAGCAATAAGCCAGCGCTCCATAGGTCATCTACACGATACTCGTTGACCTCTCCTTTTTCAAACGACGCGGGCAGTCGCGTAGTTTGGTTCGGCATCACGAGCTTTTCACGCATTAATGACGACCAAATCGCGTCCGTCAATTAACTCAACCGATTACCCGACGAAAATAGAACCCGACATCTTATAAGTTTGCAGTAGATTTATTTTATACTCATGAATTGTAACCTTTTTTGTACTGTGCATATAGTGTGTTTTCTTGCGCATTCTACTACTTTTATTAACTGGAACCGGAAGCTATCCAGTTTGTGACACCTCGACCAAGATTATCTTCGGAGTGTAGCGTCGAAATAGTCGAAAAATGTGCTCCCGATAGCTCTTGGTGACGAGGATGATGATCAGATTGTTCATAATCGAATGCGCGCTGACGTAGAGTGGAGCCACGCCTCCTACTGAAAATTTATCGTTAGGTATTCTTCGAAAAAAACTAAAAATCGACCCGGCCGCCACTATGACCAGACAGGTGCAAGGTGCCGTGAGTGCAAGGTGTACGCTGATTTTTATACTCCTTAAGTACAAAAATTTATCACAGAGATTCAGACAGCTTCCGCGTGTCATTTGGAATGGCGCGTAGCTGTCTAGATCTAGTCGATACAAAGGGTCGATTTCCGCGCTTCCTGTTCCTGTAGCATATAAATACTGTTTGGTTCTCGCGTTTTTATTTGATTTTATCCGCGAGAAGCCCCCATTTTTCGCCTAGAAGTCGTAGGTAACCAATCACACAACGTCATGGATTAATTAAATGAATAATATAGCGCATTACGCATTGGTACAGGGTACCGTAAAATCGTTACTCACATGCCCAAAACAGCTCCAACCATCCGCTGAAACTGCGTGCCAAAAATTGGAACATCATCGTCACCAGGAAGATGAACCCGAACGGGCCGACGATGAAGAGGAAGAGGCCGAGTGTCTTAAAGAATTTTATTTGCGTTTTAATTTAATTTTGCTTCATTAACTTAATATAATCTATTTAAATGTAAATAATTGTCTTTTTCTCTTGCGTTTCAGGGCGTATTTTAAACAGGTTTTCTGTAGTACCTGCAAGAAAAACACGGTCGCAAACTGCAGTCGAAGCAGCCTGGTGCGCCGGCTTTCCGCAGGATGTGTCTGATTTTTGTGAATATGGAACCGGCCGACGTTTTCGTAGACGATAGAGAGGAAAACGCAGACGTAGATGGCTCCAGCGAGAATTGCCGAGAGCACCACACCTCCAAAATACCACATGGCATCTGGAGTGAGTTTGATTAGGTAGCAACCGATCTCGCCGCAGAGGTCGTGGATCGAGGCGCAGATCTGAAGATGGGTTGGTGGGCATGTCTCTCTTTCTCCCTCTCTCTCTCTCGCTCTGTCTGTCTCGCTCTCTCGCTCTCTCGGTCTATCTCACATCTATCTCTCTTTGTATCGCATACTCTCCAGCTCACCTGCACTCACTTTCTATCTCTCGTCCTCTCTCTTTCTGCCTCTCTTCTGCGTCTCGCTTTCGTGCTCATGCTCTTTCTCGCGCTCTCACTCGCACGCTCCTCTTTCCTATCTCTCTCTCTCTCTCGCTCTCTCTCACCCACTCTCTCCCGTTTTTTCCACTGACCACGCTTTGATCAACGATTACTCCGCCCTGCTCGAGAAGGACCCTTGATGCCTGGATAAAGGATATGCTACAAAACATAAAATTGAAAGCAATAAAATATTCGAGAATCCGCTGCAGACGATCGCGCGTTGAGGTGACAACCTTTTGACGCCGAATAAGACCCGTGTATATTATAGCTGTCAGGAAAAGGCAGCAGCTGATGAAGTAGAAATTCTAAAAAAACTCTTGTTCCTCACCCTTATCGGATTCCCATGAGGTCGCTGCTAGTTGTCAGTCTCCCTCAAAACCGAATTATTGCATAGAAAATTACCGCAGCTAATAATCCCCGAAATGGGGTGGGATCGAAATAATATGATATCGGCTTTGCCGCGCATTCAGGCAAAAATATGATAGGCTTGAAGATGGAGACAAAGGTGTCGCAAAGCTCGCAGACTATCTGAAGAAAAACGACCATAATAGCTTTGCGTAATTGATCGAGCGAGCGTAAACGCACGGTTGTTCTAAACTTTAAACGTGATCGAGATCAAAACCCTAAATTCAAAAGCAGCCACAAAATCCCTCCTTTTAAACGAGTTCAAAAGCCTGAAAATCGTCCCCTGCCTCGACTGGGTATCGCCAGCTACGCGTAGCGTAGCTAGCTTCGCGTACTTCTACTACACTACACTACGAAGTTTATGAAAACGTAGGAAAAAGCGCTTTATTTCGCCCTACGTCGTAGTTGAGACCCAGTCATGCAAATGAATCAATTCTCACGGTTTCTAGGTCTTGTAACAAATCGATGAATTTCAGGATTTTACCTTCGAAAAACCTTAAGTGCATGAGTAAGCTCCTTAAAGCTATCATACCAAGATAAAAAATTGCAGCCGATTATACGCCGGCGTCGCCTTCGACCTGACGTATAAAAAGCAATAGGCGGAGAAAAAAAATAGTGTCGTTCCAATCGTCCAGAACAAAATGTAAGTTACAGAAATTATCGATTCGCCGACAGTCGTTGGGAGGAACATTGCGGAATAGTTTTTTTTGTAGTTTGCAAGGAGGCACAATCGAGCAGGTGGATTTCGAGATTTAACAGCTGCGTTTGCGAATGTGCAGATAAGACCACAGGTAATTGGCATAAAGCAGAATAGAGGATAACAGGTACTGTTTTGCACGGCGATCCTTAAAGGGAAAGCGAAAGAGCGCGGAGAGAGATATAGATCGCTAAGAGTGAGAAACAGAGAGAGAGAGAGAGCGAATGAGAGAGAGAGAGAGCGAGATAGAGAGAGAGGGCGACAAGGTAGTGAGATTAGTCTTAAAAGCCACGCACCGGAAATCGCGACAGTCGTCCTTTTTCGAAATTCGGCGTTTCCTATCGGATGTATCTCGACTAAATTAACTAGGCGCTTATCTTTGTCTGTTCGCATTACTTCTCGCTCACTCTCTCTTTCTTTCTATTTCTCTCTCTTTCTCTCTGGCTCTCTCTCTCTTTCTCTCTCTCTCTCTTTTTCTCTCTCTTGCCCCTTCCGGTGACTCATTTTAACAGAATTCGAGGCGACCTTATCGCAGAGATTCGCGCTCCGAAGACGTCTTTGTTTTGGGGTAATTATATAAATTCGGCCCGTTCTGTGGTTCCTCCTCAGTTAGATAAGTATTACCCAGGCCAATGCCCAGCATTTCACGCGGTCGAGGGCATTTTTTGCCACCAATTTTCCATCCTCGTCCCTGTTTTTTGTATTATCCATGCTTAAAAAAATGGATTTCAGTTTGTCAAGCTGAGCGAAAGCTTAGCTTGGCGGAAAACGATGGCAGACGACGCCCAAATGCTTTCAGTTTTTAAGCTCCAAAACTATTGAGAAAAACTGGAAATTCAGATTATTTTACGTTTTCTGATTTTTTAAAATCTGTATTGCAAAAGGATCTAAAATATTTCGCAATACCCTGGCTATCCAAAATACCATTTTCTCCGTTCCTTTACGGAACATTTCAGCTTTGGTGCGGAACTCTGTCGTCATGAGCGATACGGCGAGCCCCCGCCTCCTGTTTGTTTTTGGGCCGTGAAATCCAAGAGGGCGGTCCTCTTTTCGAAACTGGAACGCGCTGTCAGGTTACGACATGTTAAAAAAACCTGCAATTTGCTCTCTCTCTCTCTCTCTCTCTCTGTCTCTCTCTATCTCTTAGGCTCTCTCCCTTTCTCTCCCTAGCTCTCTCTCTCTTTCTTTCTCTCTCATTTAAGAAAATTTGCTTACTTATAACTTTGCTGAATTATTATTTTAGCAATTTTAATTCAATATAATTTACAATTAGCGGGCTCCGCCCGCTAACCCCGATTTTACCTCAATTTCCGATTGTTTCCTTTTTTTAATATTTTGTATATCTTTCCATACTGAAATTATATGATTTAACACAAAATCACCTAAATATTTCAGCAAAAAAAAATGGCCTTCCAAAAATCATCACGAATTTCAAATTCAAATTCAACGTCCTGGTGGACGAAGTGCAGGGTTATTGTAAGGCGGATTAATCATATTTTCTATACACCTTTCAATTCAGAGCACTTACCTAAACCAAATGGACGTAATTTATTTATTCCTGGGCACGCTGGTCAATATTGCCGGCGGGATACTGCAGACAAATGGCGCCTACCGATTAGCGTAAGTATTTTTTTGATAAAGTTAAAAAGGTGCTAAAGGTATATAGCACCCAAAAAGCCAATCAGAAACGTCTAAACGTTTGATTTCAATATTTAAAACACTTTATTTATAAATCACTTGATCAGAGAACTTGTGGAGCGTGCAAAAAAATACAGAAACGTCTATTTTAATTTTTCATATTTTTCAGCAGTTTGTGGCAAATTTTTATCGACAAAGAGCGATACCGGTTGGAGCAAGAATCTGGTATGTTTTCGATTAGTTTTTGAGAGTTTTCCTCTCCAATGCCGTGTTTCGAAACTATTTAATTACCGCATTCGGGTTCTGTAGTTGGGTTGTTTCCCTCACCTTGGTGGAATTCTTATCAAAATTTTGAGTACCTGAATTTAGGCAACCACACGATAAGCCTCGACATAGAAGAAAAATACGCCGAGCTTGACGGGAAACTGCTGGGAATTTGCCAACTCTTGGCCATAATTGGATTATTGAGAGCAGCCGTTGGGTTTGCTCAGGTATGAAAGCATAAGGGCGAGAGAAAAGGAGAGTGATACAAAGAGAGTTATAGAGAGAGAGGAGAGAAAGAAAGAGAGCGATCGAGAGAGGAGAGAATGAGAGAAATTTCACTATTTTAGAAATCCTTCTTCATGAATGTGGCTGACAATGTGGGGAATCAGCTGCGAAAAGTGGCTTTTAAGGTATGGGATTTATCGTGAAGTTTAATAAAGCTTATTTACAGAAAATCCTGGATCAGGAAATGGCTTGGTTTGAGAAGAAGAAGCCAGGAGCTTTATATGCCGAGTTGATGCAGTAAGTTTCTCTATCTCTCTCTCTCTCGCCCTCTCTCACTATCTCTCTCTCGCTCTCTATCTCTCTCTCGCTCCCTCTCCCTAAAAACTAATTCAGATCAACACAACGTGTTCGCCACGTGCTCAACATCCACCTGCTTCACTCGGTCCGTGCGACCTGCACGGCCATTTCCGGAATCCACATAGCCTTCTCGCTCAATCAGAATGTGGCCCAAATCGCATTCGTTTTCTTCTTGTGCTATGGGCTGGCCATGTTCTGGTTGGATCGGGTATGCTATTAAAAATTGACATAGCATATAACGCTTTTTAGCTCCGATTACACAACCGGGACCATCGGGTGAAGACGAGGGCCTCTGGGAAGTTATTCAATCAGGTAGGAGAGAGCGAGAGAGCGAGAGAGAGAGAGAGAGAGAGAGAGTGAGAGGAAGAGAGAGAAAAGAACAAGAGAAAGATAGAGAGAAAGTGAAAGAGAAAGAGAGCGAGCTAGAGAGAGAGCGAGAGAGAGAGAGAGAGAGAGAGAGAGAGAGAGAGAGAGCGGGAGAGAGGATGCGCTAAATTGTATGTTTCAGGCCCTTTCCTCCATAAGAACCGTACAGGCCAACAACGCTCAGGACTTCGAGAAAAAGAGGTAAATATTTTTAGATTTTTCTGGTATATTAATTTTATTTTTTAGATACACCCAAGTCCTCGAAGATACCGGAATCCTAGACCGGAAGAGTCTGATAATGGGCTCGACAATTAGCTGCCTCTACTTTGTCCTCACCCATATTTCCCATTGCTTCAACACCTGGATGGCGGCCGGGTATTTTTATGCCGGGGTGACGAGCGCGACTACGGTGTTGGCAGTGGGTTTTTGTAGTTTTGAAAATTACAACGTTTTTTAAAAAAGGGAATAGCTAGCAGAGATTATTGAGGAAGAGTTTAAAAAAATTATTTTGGCCTCGAAACTTGTAGAAATCTGAATAAAAATTAGCCGAGACCATTTTGGTGTTCCGGAAGTTTGATAGATAAGATGAGAGGGGCAAACTAGCATTATTTCTTGGGGAATATGATTTTTAGACCGGAAACAGCTTAGTTTTCAGATCGGAATGGCAGCCGATTCAGCCGCTGACGCTGTCGGCGACATGATGCGGGTGTTTTTCGAGTTCCAAAAGGAGCTCGACGTTGCCCAGCCCTTATTTGATATTTTGGCGCTTGACGACGAGGATGACGAAGATACGGTAACTTATCTGAAAGATCTTTATTCCCTCCAAAAATTCAGTCCGGTACTTCCGATTCCGAGATTACCGAACGGATCTCGTTTAATGACGTCCATTTCACGTATCCAATGCGACCAGAAGTGGAAATTTTAAAGGTAAAGCTTCTGGAAACACGCTAAAAAGACCTTCTGACAGTTTAGGGTCTCACTTTTGACTGTGATCCCGGACAAACAATCGCTATCGTCGGGTCCTCAGGATCTGGGAAATCGACGATACTACAGTTGATTCTCCGACTTTATCGTCCAAATTCTGGAGAGGTGAGCCAGTAAAAGAATTATGAGGCTATTAGCCTCCAAAAAATGGATTAAAAAATCGGATGAGGTATCTCAGTGAGGGAGGTGACCCTATGAAAAATTCCATTACATTCCAAATTCCAGATCCGCCTCTCTGACATCCCGATCGAGAAATATTCAAGGGAGAAACTTCGCAGCATGATTGGCGTGGTCGGACAGGAGCCGGTGTTATTCAGAGCATCGATTTTGGAGGTTTACTTTTACCTCTCAAGTTTTGATGGATTTTTAGAACATACGTTATGGAAAAGAAGAGGCAACGGATGCTGAAGTGATGATGGCCTTACAGAAAGCTAATGCACTGGCTTTTGTCAAAAGGTTGCCAAATGTAAGTACGTCTGTCACTCTCTCTCTCTCTCTTTTTCTTTCTTTCGCGCGCTCTCTCTATCTCTCTCTCTCTCGTTCTCTCTCTCCCTCTCTCTTCCAATACTTAAATTTAGGGTTGGAACACAAAAGTCGGTGAACGCGGCTGTCAACTTTCCGGAGGCCAAAAACAGAGGATAGCCATCGCCAGAGCCCTCATCAAGTCAGTAATACATAAATAAATAAATTCGGGACCTCTAGAAACCCTCGAATCCTGATCCTCGATGAGGCGACCAGTGCCCTGGACAGCCAGAGTGAAGCGGAAGTGATGAAAGTATTGAGGCGGAACTCGCGGAATCGAACGACCTTCGTTGTCGCCCATCGGCTATCAACGATTCGGGATGCCGATAAGATTTTGGTTGTGGATTCGGGCAGAGGTAGGGTCTGAAGCGGAGGTAAAATTCTGCTGTCACACCACCTTTAAAATTCGAAATCACTAGAAAAATAGACAATTTAGTCGTCGAATCCGGCACCCATTACGAGCTGATGGCAAAGGATGAGCATTACGCGAATTTGGTCAAAGCGCAAGTGTACGACAGTAAGTTTTATGTATTTTCTAAGCAATTAAGAGATTATCACGTTTTTTTTGCGATTTTTTATATTTTTAAATCACGACTTTTAATTTCCGATACCTTTTTAGCACTGCGAAAGCGGCACTCTACCGAAGACTCCGAAACTCTAGAGGTTGAAGCGGAAACTGTGGAAATGGAGATGAAAAATGCTGACGTCGAGGAGGAGGAGAAAGACATTGTGAAACGGCTAGAAAAAGGTAAAAACAAACTGTACTACTCGACCAGAAAATTCAAAAAAATCCCTGCTAGCTTGTTTCCGTTGCTTGGCTCAATATCCCCAAGGAATCGCCGCTAGTTAGCCATGGATTATTAGACATTTCAGCTGCTGAAAAAACTAACTCACTCCCGTAATTTTAGAATGCCGTGAAGAAGGCGTTACCCCAGCGGGCTTCTCCCAGATTTGGGCTTGGCTGGAGCCAGACAGAGCCCTGGTCTTTTTCGGATTGTCTGCCTGCTTACTCACGGGAATCATGAACCCCCTCTCTAATTGGATTCATGCTTATAGCCTAGAGGTACTGTAGAGCTACATTATTTCTCATACCGTGTCCTTCCAGTCTTACGCCCAAATCGACAAGCAACAGCAGTTGGCCGCCGGGCAGCGTGGCGCTTTACTAGCGCTACTCCCGATCCTCCCCAACATGGTCGTAAGCATGGCCGGAGCGCTGTGCCTGGGCACTGTCGGGATACGGCTCGCGAATCGGTTGAAGGTTCAGGTAAGTAACACTGCGTAATTTGGTCCGTAAACTACTTAGCCATACCCTATTGACCTAGATTCATTGTGTAGTAGGACAGAAAAAATCGGTAGCGCCTAAATCTTGAAAAAATCGGTGAGTCCGGCCTTCCGGGCAGCTACGGAGACTGCAAAAAGTAATTCCTAACCCTAAAAAGCGCAAAAAGCCTACGACACTCGGGATTCCCAAGCCGTCTCCGATCCAAGTACTAACCGAGCCCAACGTTGCTTAACTTGGCAGATCGGACGGGATGCCGTGCTTTCAACGTGGTATGGTCGTAGGCGAAAGGGGATCGGGGAGGGAGGGTGAAGTGTTGGGGGTGGAAAGAGAGCGCGGCCAGGCGAGAGGTACGAGACAGTTCGGACCTGGCAGCGACGTTGGGCCCGGCTGGTGAAACCGACAAAATAGTAGCCTTTTAGCTATATAAATGATATTTAGCCCACAAATGAAATGCAGTAATTACATTAAATATATAGTATATAAAGTGCTCCATTTAATTTAGTTCTTCTCCAACGTATTACACCAAGATGGGCCCTATTTTGACGAGCCGAAGCACGCGACTGCGAGGCTCGGCACCAGGATCTCGACCGATATCCAGAATATTAAAGGGGTAAGGACAAAATCTATACTTATAAATTTTTAATATACCTTTAATATATCCTAAAATAACCTTTCTAGGCACTCAGCGGTCGATTTACGAACACGCTCGGCTCGGTGTTCGTCATTTGCAGCGGGTTGGCCACCGGGTTCTACTATTGCTGGCCACTCGCGATTATTAGTAAGAAAAATACCTTTTAACTAAATGATACAAATTTTATAGTGATTATAATGGCTCCTCTTTTCGCTCTGCAACAACTGGCGCTCAAATATATCAAACCGAGGTCGCATCTCGACCAAAAATTGGGCGAGGAAGCGGCGAGAGTAAGTTAATTTTGATGTTTTCAATTCTATTCCATTACTTATATGGTCATTTTAACTCTAAATGGATGAAACTTACATCATAAATTTTAACAACTGTCAATTAATAATTTTAGATGCTAAACGAATCGATCGATTGCATCCAAACAGTCAAATCGATGAACCTTGCCGAGAATTTGCACCAAAAATATGGAAAACTGTTGGCAAAAATGCGTGAGAATTACTTCGCCACGATCCGCTCGCAGGTTGGCAAGCTTTTTAGACTTTTTTAAGCGCCACCGTCCCTTTAAATTATGTTAATCTATTTTTTACGTTTTTCCATACCTGTAAACCCCGCCATCCCTGGCTTTCCAGGGTCTCCTGATGGCAATCTGCGAGGGAAACCTCCAATTAACACTCTGCGTACAATTTTACGTTGCCAACTGCGTGATCAGCTACGGTTTCCTGCCATTTGACGTGTACTTGGCGATGATTACGATGAAGGGAGCTGCGAAAGCCATAGGGGGCGTCATTGGGTTCTTCCCGGAGTGGAAGACGATGCGTTTGGCCGCTGCACTGATGGCTCATAATTTGGAGAAGACGCGCATCAAGGAGAAGTCGACGGGAGAGCAGGTAGTATCTATCGTTTCTCTTTCTCTCATCCTCTCTCTATAACACCCTCGCTCTCGATATATCTCTTTTTCTCTCTCTCTCTCTGTCTTGTCTCTATCTCTCATTCTCTCTCTATCACTCCCTCTCTCTCGCTATATCTCTCTTTCTCTCTGGCTCTCTCTCGCTCTCTCTCGCTCTTCCTTTTCAACCCTCCTTTTTAGCCCGATTTTGGTGTCATCTCGTTCAAGAATGTCCACTTTACATACCCGCAGCGCCCCGAGCAGCCCGTTTTGAAAGGTTTGGATAAATTTTTAATTTACAAAATTAAAAAATGAGAATTACTACAATCTACTTCCTTACTACAGATATCCTACTCTGAATTTTAGGCATCTCCTTCCAAATCGATGAGGGCCAAAAAGTCGCTCTGGTCGGAATTTCTGGCTCCGGGAAAAGCACCATAGCGGCGTTGGTCCAGAATTTTTTACAAAGTGGATGATGGAGCTATCGTAGGTCAAGATTTTGATGCTGAAAACAAGCGTTTATAGGAGCTAAACGGACGAAACATTAACGAGATACCGAAGAAGGAGTTGAGAGCGATGATGGGCATCGTTTCTCAGGAGCCTACACTGTTTGACGAGACGATTTACGTGAGTTTTAAGATCTTAAAAAGAGGGAGAGAGAGAGAGTGAGAGAGAGAGAGAGAGCGTGAGAGAAAGCTAGAGGGAAAGAGAAAGGGAGAGTGAGAGCGTAAGAGGGCGAGGCTTTTCCGGCTCAAAAAATTGCAACCCGATAAAATTGATCTATATAATTATATAATTAACTTATTAACTCAACCTATTCAGAATAATATCATCTACGGCCTGGACCCCGATTTGGTGAAGGAAGCCGAAGTCTACGAAGTCGCCAAATCCGCCAATATCCACAGTTTGGTCGAAAAATTGCCCGACGGGTATCAGACGATGGTCGGGGAGAGGGGAACACAGCTTTCTGGAGGTACTGTAGAAGTTGTACTTCATACTCTTACGTATCCTAGGTCAAAAACAGCGAATAGCCATCGCCAGGGCACTGTTGAAAAACCCAAAATTGTTGATTTTGGATGAGGCGACGAGTGCGCTGGATGCGGAGAGTGAAAAAGTGGGGTTTTTGAAGCTTTGTTAAGTGCAAAATTTCTTTGAAAGCTTTATAGAATGCTTCATCATGTGTAAAAATGAAAAATTTTGTCTCCAGATAGTCCAAGAAGCCATTAATGCGTCGACATTCGGGCGTTCCTGCCTGATTATCGCCCATCGATTGAGCACGATTCGGGATGCCGATAAAATCATCGTCATGGACAAGGGAGTGATCGTCGAGGAAGGCAAGTTTTTATAGGTAAAAAAGCTCCAGATTATTCTTCTAAAATGAACTAATTTTTAATCAGCAAAATTACTATTTAAATTTTTATTGGAATTAGATCGAAATTTTTAGGCGCCCACGAGCAACTGATGCAAAACCACGGTCCCTACTATCAACTTATAAAACACCAGGGCGCTCATTAAAAGTGAACATGAATACCGTAACCTTTTTCACTATGTGATCGTGTATTAGATATACGTATTTTTGTTGCCATTATGTTAGTGTTTTTCTTGTTAAACTTTACGGGTAAACCTGTTTTTTTTAAGTATCTCAAGGAATACATTTCAATGTGGATTCATAATTGTCTGAGCTAAAACAACATACGCCAGACCAATCCAAAATTTACAAGCAACACCTATTCGAATGTTTCGCTCAAAAGGGACCAGGAAGGTCTCAAATATACACCTTACTTTGACTAGATGTCGACTGCGAGTTTTTTGCGCTTTCAAAACACATAAACCCTTGAAAACTCTGTTTGGCCCACATGTCGCCTTGTATCGCGTACGTAATTTCGCGTAGCGTTGGGTGGCGTTTAGTAGCGTCACATAGTGCGACGGAGTGCTACGCGGTCTGGCGCGACGTAGCGATATCTAGCGTGGCGTAGCGTTACCTAGTGTGGCGTAGCGTTAAGTAGCGTGGGGTAGTGTTACGTAGTGTGGCGTAGCCTTGCATGTGACGTGGCGCCCCGTTGCATAGCCTAGCGTAGCCTAGACTTGCGTACCTTTGCGTGGCATTGCGTAGCGTATCGAGCCTGGTGGCGAAGCGCTGCGTGGCGAGGCGCAGCGTAGCGTCGTGCGTTGCGCTTAGCCCTGCGTAGCATCATCCATAACGTGCGGTTCGTTCCGCTGAAGCATGTCCAACTCATGAATTTGATTGTTTTAAAAGTGGTAAGATAGTTTTTCGTTGCCTTTCTAGGATGACGCTTTATCGGGCATCCCCCTCCTGCCCCTGTTATTTGCTTTTCCATTTTTATGCCCCCTCCTCGCCTGCCCTTTCCACTTTTCCCCCCTCTCTCCCCACTTCGCCCTAGGTCAGCGATCATGGTTGCACAAGATTTCGCCCCAACTCGTACGCCTCCATTCGAATTACATCAATTTCGGCTTGCGAAAATGCTTTGTATTTTTAGGTGAATCACAAACTTGCTGGGAGCTAGTTATTGAGCTGTTTAAAAGCGAGATTTCAACCCTTATTTTGACCTTTATAGTTTCGTAAATGCGTAAGATTATGTGTAGTTCCTGTTTTCTCTCTCATCCTCGCTATCTCTTTTTCTCTCGCTCTTTCTCCCTCTCTCCATCGCTTTCTCTCTATTTCTCACCCCCCATGTAGCATTTTTCCTAACCGAACCTGGCAACTTACTAGGGAGGTATCTGAACTCGGCATCGAACTTTGAGAAGTCAGATACACCATTCGACGCGCCTTGTCGAGGGCATTCCAAATATGTAATAAAATCAACCAGAGCGTATAACCGTAAGAAGTTATGAGCATTTTAAATCGACAAAATGGTGAAAAACAGTATCTTTGATACCCTGTATCATCCCGCGGAATCGAATTTAGTCTAAACTGATTGGTGCTCTTTGTTCAACAAAGAAAGCTCTTTCAAATGAGCTATATTACATACGGCTGCCAAAAATTTCCGCAAAAAAAGATTTTTGGAATGCAGTGTAAGGGTAGGGTATGGCCAGCTTGCCGAAGACGTTTCGAGAATTTAGCGTAATGCCTATGTAAGATAGCTCATTCGAAAGGGAATTTTTTGCTGATCAAGAGGTACTGATCTATTTTTGACAAATTACATTTTTCGAATTCGTACAGAGTCTTAAAAGGGCGGTTTTTGACGATTTTGCCAACTTGCATATAGAGAGCGTCCAATCCTGGATTTCTTGTCCGAGGTTATTTTATCGTCGCTAGTGCTTGTTCGGGGTCACACAGTCAAGAAAAACTTATTCCTGAACTTGGAAATGCAAAAAAGGAGAAACTGGTCAAAACGCAAAAAATAAAAGTCGTGAGTGGATCCGAACCCTGGACATACACCCCAGAGCCCCATACGCACACCACTAGGCCACAGAACCGATGAACAGGGTGCGCTGGGAGGGGCTCATAACGCTGCGGCGGATTCCGGTGCAAAACTTAAAATGCTCATAACTTTTTACGGTTATACGCTCTGGTTGATTTTATTACATATTTGGAATGCCCTCGACAAGGCGCGTCGAATGGTTGTATCTGACTTCTCAAAGTTCGATGCCGAGTTCAGATACCTCCCTAGTTAGCTGTATTTAAGTGAATCTCTGAATTCATAAAATAACAATTAAGGTGCAGAATGTTAGAAAAACTATACAACAACAAGCCGATCAAAAAATGTAAAATTCTGGTAAAACACCTGTGAATTTTCGTTAACTTTAATTGAATTAGTGGAGCTACTTCTCGCCCCGCGAACGTGCTATTCTCTTCATTGGCACTATTATTAATATTGTTGGTGGAATCCTGGCTAATGACGGGTATTACCGATTAGCGTACGTTTTTTACTCCAATGCGTATCGGATTCATATTGCAGTAATTTATGGCAGATTTTTATCGATAAAGAACGCTACAGGTTGGAGCAAATACAAGGTAAGCCATTTTTTTCATAGCAGAGTAAGGAGATGTTTTTAAGGCAATCAAACAATATGCCTCGAAGCCGAATCTAAATATTCGTTACTGGACATAAAACTCGTGGAAATTTGCCAATACCTAATTGTATTAGCGTGTCTCCGAGGTGTCATCGGGTTTTGCTACGTACGCTGTGCAACTTAATTGTACGATATCTTTTTTAGAAATACGCATTTATGAGCATCAGTGAAAATGTGTGCCATAGCATGCGAAAATCTGCGTTTAAGGTACCGGGTGCGTAGCTTAGATAGCTAATTTTGTTCAGAAAATTCTGGATCAAGAAATCGAATGGTTTGAGAAGTCGAAGCCGGGCACTTTAGCTACTGACGTTGCAGAGTAAGGCAGAGCGAGAGAGAGAGAGAGAGAGAGAGAGAGAGAGAGAGAGAGAGAGAGAGAGAGGAGCGAAAATTCCACATTTTTTCGTTTAGATCCCTCGAAAAACTCGGGTGGAGCATGCGGAACAGTATGCAATCTTCCGTCGGAGCACTAATGACAGCTGTCACTGGAGTTTATGTCGCATTCTCGTTGAACCAAAATGTTGCCCAAATCACGATGCTATTTTTCGGGTTCTATGGAATGGCGTCATTTTGGCTTGAAAGGGTAAGGAAGCGAAAATTTGTCAAGAATTAGAGTTTTTTTAGCTATCCGACCTCAGCTACGAGTACAGCAACAGCTACAAGACGGCCGGAAGGTTGTTGCAACAGGTAATTTTAGCAATTTTTGCGAAAATTTCACATTTTAGGCGTTATCCTCAATCCGAACCGTTCAAGCAAATAATGCTCAACATTTTGAGTTGAAGAGGTAAAAAACGGTATCGAAAATCGACTCTAAAGGCATGGTGGCAGCTACGTTTTTTGCTAAAACAGACATACGTTAAGTTAGATACCTAAACTACCACTTTCAGGTACAAAACCGCGCTTTCCGAAGCCGGTCTTATCGACCGGAAAGCGGCGCTGATCACCTGTGGCGTTTCCGGGCTTTGGCTGACCATTATCCACATTTCCGAGTTTTACAACAACTGGATGGCGGCGGATTATGTATTTAATGGAATCACGAATGCTACTACGGTATTAGCAGTAAGTTTAAGTGATCGTTAAGGTACTAATGGCGAGGGTTGGAGCAGTCACAATCCCTTAAAAATCATTTCCAGATCGGGATGGCCGCAGATTCGGCGAGCAGCGCTGTCGGGTCTCTAATTCGGGAAATTTTCGACGTCCAGAAGAATCTCAACGACGCGCAGCCACTTTTCGATATTTTGGCGCTAAAGGAAGACGATGAGAGGGATAAGGTATGAAATTCGATACCTCATATACTTACTATTACCAGGAAGATCCTATTGACACAACGACAGCTGCGAGAATCTCGTTTGATTCGGTCAACTTTACCTACCCGAGCCGACCGGATGTGGAGATTTTGAAGGTATCTTATTACATATGATTAGATATACCTTATTAAATTTAGGATATATCATTCGAGTGCAGCCCCGGCCAGACTGTGGCCATTGTCGGAACTTCCGGATCCGGAAAATCGACGATTTTACAGCTACTTCTCAGGCTATATCAACCAATTTCTGGAGAGGTACGCAATTTGTAGTCTGTAGTAGATTTCTAGTAGTTTTTAGTAAATAAGGTGCATAAACAAGGTATCAAATACACCCTTAAAGCAAAACGGTCATTTCCAGATCCACCTCGACGGAATTCCGATCCACAACTACACACGAAGACGGCTTCTAGATCTTATTGGAGTTGTCGGTCAGGAACCCGTGTTGTTCAGCTCCTCCATAATTGAGGCAAGACCCGATTTTTACCCTTAAAAAGTAACTGAATACAGAATATACGCTATGGAAAGGAAGACGCAACGGACGCGGAAGTTACCTTGGCTCTACAAAGAGCCAATGCCTTGGAATTCGTACGAGGGCTGCCAAATGTAGGATATTTCTCACTCGCCGTGCTCTCTCTCTCTCTCTCTCTCTCTCTATCTCTCTCTCGCTCTTCCAATACCTATGCTGAATCGAGTCAGTGAGAGAGCACAAGCACGATAACGAGCAAGAGCTCAAGAAATCCAAGGTCTTTTTAGGGCTGGAACACAAAAGTCGGCGAACGTGGCTGTCAACTTTCCGGAGGCCAAAAACAGAGGATCGCCATCGCCAGAGCCCTCATCAAGTCAGTAATTCAGAAACCATTAAATTCAGTACCTCTAGGAACCCCCGAATCCTGATTCTCGATGAGGCGACCAGCGCCCTGGACAGCCAGAGTGAAGCGGAAGTGATGAAAGTATTGAGGCGGAACTCGAGGAATCGAACAACCTTTGTCGTCGCTCATCGGCTATCTACCATCCGGGATGCCGACAAGATTTTGGTTGTCGATTCGGGGAGAGGTAGGGTTTGAAAGAAGACGTAAAGTACTGTTGTTACCCTCACTTTAAAATACGAAATCACCGGTAAATCAATAACTTAGTCATCGAGTCCGGTACGCATCACGAGTTGATGGCCATGGATGGAACTTATGCAAAGCTAGTAAAGGCTCAACTTAATCAAGGTATTTCCGTTTTTCCGTCGTACATCCTTTCGCTTTTACTATTTACGGATATTCTATATTGCATTTTAGCTCGTAGAAGTCGTCATTCTACCGAAGATAGCCAGAATCTCGGTTCAGACGCGGGAGAATACTGCAGCGAGCACGAGTTTAGTGACGAGGAGGACGAGAATGAGGACGATGTGGCGAGGATGGAACGGGGTCGGTGCCCTCTCTCTCTCTCTCTCTCTCTCTCTCTCTCTCTCTCTCTCTATCATGCTCGATTCTAGAATGCCAAGAAGAAGGTATCACCAACTTCAACTTTTCGAAAATCGTAAGCTGGCTTCGACCGGATGCAAAGCTCTTCGCTCTTGGAATGTTTGCCTGCCTGGCCGAGGGCTTTCTGATGCCCTTTGGAAAATGGATAGAGGGCCAAGCCCTTCAGGTTTTAAGCCTATAAAGTTCTGAATTTTCCGCTCCAGTCCTACGCCCAAATCGACCCGGCCAAGCAGCTGGCAGATGGTAGAAGAGGAGCCCTCTTGGAGCTGTTACCGATTGTCCCGCATATTCTGATTAACTTGGCTAGAGGCATGTGCTTGGAAACCGCTGGTATTCGACTGGCGAATCGGCTTCGGGTTGAGGTTGGTGATACCTAGAGGGTTTATTTTTATTGTTAGGCATGAAAATTGCCCTTCGCGATCCCTTTAAAGCCAGAAAATATACCCAAATAGAAGTAGTTCCTTCGCTACATTTTATAAATGCTTCTTCTCCGGCCTCGTTAACGTGTCCGTTTTCGGCGCCATCTAAAAACGAAGCCAATTTGGGAAGCCTCTCATGCATCAGACCCTTTCAATCTTTTACGCCTTACACGAAGTGTACGGCTTTTCCGAAACGAACGATAATGGTTTTCGCTGCAGTTTCGCTTCCACATCTAAAACCCAATCCAAAAAAGTGGAACCAAAAACGCACAATTCGATTAAAAAAACAATTTCCTACCCTCTAAAAAGCGCAAAAAGCCTACGACACTCGGGATTCCCAAGCCGTCTCCGATCCAAGTACTAACCGAGCCCAACGTTGCTTAACTTGGCAGATCGGACGGGATGCCGTGCTTTCAACGTGGTATGGTCGTAGGCAATATGGGGTCCGGGGAGGGAGGGTGAAGTGTTAGGGGAAACCTAGAGAGCGGGTCGAGAGGAGAGGTGCCAGGCAGTGAGGCGGGTCTTTCCGGTTGGGTGAGCCAGGTGGTCGCAGACAAAATAAAATCACGTTTCTCGCCTTACGAAATTACAAAAGACAAAATAACATTTAAAATTTAACACAGTAATTATAATCTCGGAATTTATCAATATTAATTTTAGTTCTTCTCAAACCTATTACACCAAGGTGGGCCCTATTTTGACGAGCCAAAGCATGCAACCGGAAGGTTGACAACAAGATTGGCCAGTGATGTGCTACATATTCGACAGGTATCAAAAACATACTTTGCGAATTCTTAAGAAATACCTTACAATACTTCTAGGCTCTTGGAAGCCGTGTTTCCTGGCTTTTCGGATCGTTTTTCGTCATCGTCATCGGGCTAACCGCTAGCTTCTACTATTGCTGGCCGCTAGCTTTGATTAGTAGGTTATCAAAGTGTTAAAACTACATATTTTTAATGTTTTAATGAATATTATATCCTAGTGATGGCGTTACTGCCGATATTCGGAGCCCTGAATGCCGTCTATGACTTGATAGACCCCGCATCGTATGAGGATAAGAAAATGATCGAGGAGGGCGCTAGGGTGATTTTTTAGTCTTTCCTTAATTTTATATACAAATTACTTATCCAAAAATCTGCAAACTGTATTTATTACCATATTTTAGTTAATGAACGAGTCAATCGACAACATAAGAACCGTAAAATCGCTGAATCTCGGCACGAATCTCTACTCAAAATACAGCGAAATCATCGAAAAACCGCATAGTGTTTTTTACAAGAAAATGCTAGCTCGGGTAAGTTATAATTTAATGCGATGATTTTTTCAATTTTAACAAGCTTATAAAACCAAAAATATCTATACCTTTTTCAGAGCTTTCTCGTCGCCGTCGCCGACAGCAACTTCCAATTGACGATCTGCGTCCAGTACTACGTCGCTAATTATATCCTTGGCTACGGCTTCCTACCCTTTGACGTCTTCATGACGATGCTGTTGATGAACGGCGTCGGCGAGTCGTTCGGCTCGCTCGTCGGCTTCTACCCGGAGTACAAGAAAATGAGACTGGCCGCCGCGTTGATGATCAAGAATTTGGAGGAGACCAGGGTGGAAGAGGAATCAAATTCTGATGAGGTGCAGCTGAGGAAATTGTCGAAAAACAAAAGATTATAGCTGAATTTCGGGCAAATCCGTTTTGAGGACGTCCACTTTGCATACCCGCAACGCCCGGAGCAAGAGGTTTTGAAGGGTATGAAACATAGCATTAAATTAGCCCAACTTTGGTAAAAATAAGTTCAAACGGTGCTTTTGCATTATCAGGGGGGGGGGGGGGGCTTTTTACCGAGGATCCAATTTTTCATAAATAAATGGATGAGGCTTTTCGAACCTAATTTTTACTATTCTGAAATGTAAAAACCGTGCAAACATTCGATTTTAAATCCAGAAACTTCTTTAGATTTCGAAAAACAGATTTTCTGGTTTTCTTGGTTAGTGTTTTTGACTTAAAACCGTTAAATTGACGAACGATTTTTTCAAATACTTGCTATTGTATTATTGGGCATTTCAGGACCTCTATGACCCCCCCCCCCGATAATGCAAAAGTGCCGTTTTAACTAAATCCATAATTTCAGGAATTTCTTTCCAAGTCGACCAGGGCCAAACAGTCGCTCTCGTTGGCATGTCTGGCTCTGGCAAAAGCACGATCTCATCCCTCCTTCAGAGATTTTACGATCTGAAGAAAGGATCGATCGTATGATACCAATATAACTTTAATAAAATCCAATCTATAGTACCTCGATGGCCAGAATATCCGCGACCTTCCAAAAAAGGAACTTCGCACTCAAATGGGCATCGTCTCGCAAGAACTCACGCTCTTTGACGACACTATTTATGTGGGTTTTGAGCATGAGTTACTGGATCTCAAGGCAGGTGCCTCCAGAGATATACCTTAACTTCAGAACAACATCATCTACGGCCTGGACCCCGATTTGGTGAAGGAAGCCGAAGTCCACGAAGTCGCCAAATCCGCCAATATCCACAGTTTTGTCGAAAAATTGCCAGACGGGTATCAGACGATGGTCGGAGAGAGAGGAACACAGCTTTCTGGAGGTATTGTAGAAGTTGTACTTCGTACTCTTACGTATCGTAGGTCAAAAACAGCGAATAGCCATCGCCAGGGCACTGTTGAAAAACCCGAAATTGTTGATTTTGGATGAAGCGACGAGTGCGCTGGACGCGGAGAGTGAAAAGGTGAGTTTTTCAAGATTTTGTGAAGCCTAAAATTCTTTTATAGATCGTTCAAGAAGCCATTAATGCGTCGACATTTGGTCGCACTTGCCTTGTTATTGCTCATCGATTGAGCACGATTCGGGATGCCGACAAAATTATCGTCATGGACCGTGGGGTTATCGTGGAAGAGGGTGAGTTTTTCGAGAGTGAGCCTTTTCTTACTTCTCAAAAAACAATACCGAAAGTTACGAAAAGTTCCGAATACTTTTCAGGCGTACATAAAGATCTTGTCGAGAAGCACGGGGTGTACTACCAGCTGGTGAAGCACCAGGAGCACAGCTAGCACTTCCGGAAGTGGCTTCTGGAAGTTCGCGTACAAGACGGATTACCTTACGTGTAATAATGTCGATCTCGAAAGTTCTCTTCGAATAAATTTTGTTAATTTTAGCCTTGCCTATTACTGAACTATACCAGAATAGGATCTTTTGCATTAACGGGGGTTATTAGGGTGAAAACCTACCTTTTTTCTTTAGTAATTATTTTTTATCAATATGGGAAGTGCTTCAAAATGTTTTTTTACTATTCCTAAGCGCAAGAAATTTACAATGTTTATTAAAAAACGCAAAACGATCGATTTTTCCAGCAAACACGCGGCCTTATAATTTTTTAAGGTTTTTAAGATAGTCTTTTCGATTGAAATAAGGTTAAATTTTACGCAAAAAAATTCTGTTAGAAATACTTGCGTTACTAAACATTTATGGGCTTCTCGAAAAAATTTGTGCCACCCCCGATAACGCGAAAGTACCTATTTTTTTAATTCGATAGAGTTAAAAATTCCGCCATTAAAAATGGCTGCTAAAATTGGCTTTTTTTGATAAATGACTGTTTTAATAAATTTTTCTGGAGATGTGATACTTTTCCCTCGACGCCTATCTTTTGCAGCAAGAAATTACAGCAAATGAGGTGACACGAGAGGGCTTTTCCCCCGCTCTTTTGCCACGTCCTGCCCCCTCTGGAACCCTAGCGAACGTTCTGGAAGCAAGTGCAGGCTGCTATAAAAACAGCAAAGGTCTCCCCGCCCCGCTAGTACACATCCTTCCTCGTCCGCCACAAAAATATAGCACCCCCTATCATTCTCGTGTAACGATTCACTGTGTTTTTAAAATTTTTACCGTCTATTTGAAAAGGTTATTCAAAAATTTCTAGAATTTTTTAGTTCCAAAGAAAGTTAAATTAAGGACAAGCCCTAAGAGCCACTACAACCCTGAAAAAGCACCACCGATTTCCAATAAAAATCACAGCACTTCGAAGTGTTTTTCGACGATGCGCTTACAAGGACTAGCGCAGTATCGAGCTCTACAGTAATAAAATCCCTGCGAAGAATAGAAATTAGACTACTTAAAATCCCGAAAAGTTGCAGTTTGATTTGAAAAAATAACTGCAAGCTATTTCAAAGAGGTGTTTAACTAGCCCATTTCTAGCAAGATTTATCTTTATTTTGAAAGCTATACAATTTAGAGTAGGGCAAGCTTTTCCATCTAGCATCGACAACGAGTTTTAATAAATGTTTAGTATTCCCAATTTTTATGTATCAATTTTACCGCAATTTTATTTACCGATCGTTTCCCGAGCCATTCCGCTAATTTTCTGGCGATTTTTACTACTTAATCTAAAAAAGCAGGTCTTTTTTCGATGAAGATTGTTTTTCCATGAAGAAGTTGCCTCTTACGTCAACAATTCGAAGACATTAATAAACGGCTATCTACAATTCAGCATAATTTTAGCGATTTTCTTCCAACATTTTGGGTTTGTGTTGACATTTTCTTACGTCAACAATTCGAAGAAAGATTTGATAAAGCTATCTACATTTTCGAACATAATTTTACCGATTTTCTATGGCAACAGATTGCCCCCGGCGCGCGCGCTGACAACCCCATTAATCTTGCAGCACCAAATCGAGGCTTCCCGAACGTTCATCCGCAATATCTAATGAGTCGTTTTGGCAAGGTCATGACGGCCAGCTGGCTGGTTGCGATAATCTTTGCGTTTCCCGGGCAACGAGGGTGGATTGTGGGAGGAAAAGGGAACATTCGAGAGCCCCGGTTCTCTCAACGGGCCCAGTCGGGTCTGGGGTTGTTTGCTAGCCTGCGCCCCACGACCCCGCCCACCGTACCCCGTGCCATACTTTCGGGAACCTTCCAGGGCCGGCCCCCGTTTGAAATTGGCCATTTTCCCGAATTTTCTTTCGCAGGGACCGCCCCCATTCTAGAATGTCGTTTCCTCATTTCCACGATTTCTCATGGCCATTCGCTCATAACCTTCCGCCCTTGCCTCCCATTCGACCCCCGACCCGCTTCCCCATCGGCTTATTGCGCGCGCTAATTGGCTACAGTACCCCGTGATTGGCCCTAGCAATTACCTTGAATAACTTTCGGATTGTTCTTTTCCATCAAATCCATTGAAATTCCTTCTAAATCTGACTTGTTTTTTCTTTTCTTGGCTAGTCGATCGTTCTCGATACGGATTTTAGAATTTGGGGTTCAAATAGTACGCGCTTTCTCTTTGTTTCATGGCCCTTTCTTTTTTTCTATTGAGAGTTCCGATTTTAGTTCTTGGGTCTTTCAACTGCTTCTCTATTAGATTGTTCTTTTGACTTCCCAATCTTCTTTGGACCATTTTACACTTATCTTTTCCAGACAAACTACTGCAAGCATGTCGGACGAACAGGGCAGCGGCGAAACCTTCGCCTTCCAGGCTGAGATCGCCCAGCTGATGTCCTTGATCATCAACACATTCTATTCGTGAGTTTTTTACTGTTTTGGGGCTGAGCCATTAGACTTTGACTTTCGCAACTGATTTCGTAATTGCGATCTCGTTTATCTTGCCTCTTGAAACTGATTAGGGCACGGCCTTGTAAATAATCGGGCGGCCTTTCGGATTCTTTTACTAATCGTTGCTTTCCAGGAACAAGGAGATCTTCCTCCGGGAATTGGTGTCCAATGCCTCCGATGCCCTGGACAAGATCCGCTACCAGGCGCTGACGGAGCCCTCGGAGCTCGACTCTGGCAAGGAACTCTTCATCAAGATCACGCCCAACAAGGCCGAGAAGACCCTCACCATCCTCGATACTGGTATCGGCATGACCAAGGCGGATCTTGTCAACAACTTGGGTACCATCGCCAAGTCTGGCACCAAGGCGTTCATGGAGGCTCTCCAGGTATATCTTTTTAGATGTCGGGTTTTGTTTTTCTACTGCAACCACTAATCTTTTCTTTCAGGCTGGAGCTGACATCAGCATGATCGGACAGTTCGGTGTGGGTTTCTACTCCGCCTTCCTGGTTGCTGACAAGGTCGTCGTCACTTCCAAGAACAACGATGATGACTGCCACCAGTGGGAGTCTGCCGCCGGCGGATCCTTCCTCGTCCGCACCGTCGAGGACCCCGAGGTCACTCGCGGTACCAAGATCGTCCTGCACATGAAGGTATTATTTTGTTTTATAGAGAACCACTTTTGATGTACCTTTTCATTTTGATGTTTTAGGAGGACCAGGTCGAGTACCTTGAGGAGCGCCGCGTCAAGGAGATCATCAAGAAGCACTCGCAGTTCATCGGCTACCCGATCAAGCTCGTCGTCGAGAAGGAGCGCGAGAAGGAGGTCGAGGACGACACCCCGGAAGAGGAGAAGAAGGATGAGGATAAGAAGGTATGTTCCCTTACATGCATTTTTGTTTTGCTTCGTTTCTTTACCAACCTTTTTGTTCCAGGAGGGCGAGGTCGAGGATGTCGGTGAGGATGCTGATGCCGAGTCCAAGGACAAGAAGAAGAAGAAGATCAAGGAGAAGTACTTCGAGGACGAGGAGCTCAACAAGACGAAGCCAATCTGGACCCGCAACCCAGACGACATCTCCAACGAGGAGTATGCCGAATTCTATAAGAGCTTGAGCAACGACTGGGAAGACCACCTCGCCGTCAAGCACTTCAGCGTTGAAGGTGAGGTTTTCCACCTAAGGTTCATTACACGGATTTTTTTCAGGTCAACTCGAGTTCCGCGCTCTCCTCTTCGTCCCGCAGCGTGCTCCTTTCGATCTCTTCGAAAACAAGAAGTCGAAGAACTCCATCAAGCTGTACGTGCGCCGTGTGTTCATCATGGAGAACTGCGAGGAGCTGATGCCCGAGTACCTCAACTTCGTCAAGGGTGTCGTCGACTCTGAGGACCTCCCGCTCAACATTTCCCGTGAGATGCTCCAGCAGTCCAAGATCCTGAAGGTCATCCGCAAGAACCTCGTCAAGAAGTGCATGGAGCTCTTCGACGAGATCGCTGAGGACAAGGACAACTTCAAGAAGTTCTACGAGCAGTTCGGCAAGAACCTGAAGCTCGGCATCCACGAGGACTCCACCAACCGCAAGAAGCTCTCCGACTACCTGCGCTACGCCTCCTCGATGGTGGATGAGCCAACCTCGCTGAAGGACTACGTCTCCCGCATGAAGGTTTGTAACTTTACTTTTGCACTTATTGTTTCTTTTCTAGGAGAACCAGAACCAGATCTACTACATCACCGGCGAGTCCAAGGACCAGGTCTCCAACTCCGCCTTCGTTGAGCGTGTCCGCAACCGTGGCTTCGAAGTCTTGTACATGATCGACCCGATCGACGAGTACTGCGTCCAGCAGCTGAAGGAATACGAGGGCAAGAAGCTCATCTCCGTCACCAAGGAAGGACTCGAGCTGCCCGAGACCGAAGAGGAGAAGAAGAAGTTCGAGGAGGACAAGGTAAATTCTTTTTCCGGGTTTTTTATTAGTTGACTTTAAAGTAATTCATTAAATTTTGTTTTCCAGGTCAAATACGAGGTCCTCTGCAAGGTGATCAAGGACATCCTCGAGAAGAAGGTCGAGAAGGTCACCATCTCCAACCGCCTCGTCAACTCGCCATGCTGCATCGTCACCTCCGAATACGGATGGTCCGCAAACATGGAGCGCATCATGAAGGCACAGGCCCTCCGGGACTCTTCCACGATGGGATACATGGCCGCCAAGAAGCACCTCGAGCTCAACCCCGACCATCCAATCATCAAGTAAGTTATTTAGTTTCTTGCTCTGATTTTTCCTTTCGAGTGACCATTATCAATTTTCCTTTTAGGACTCTTCTCTCCCGGGTCGAGGTTGACAAGAACGACAAAGCCGTCAAGGACCTCGTTGTTCTGCTCTTCGAAACGGCCCTCCTCTCCTCCGGCTTCTCCTTGGAAGAGCCGGCCGCCCACGCCGCTCGCATCTACCGCATGGTCAAACTCGGGCTCGACATCGGTGGTGACGACGACGAGGATGAGGAAGACGCGCCCGCCACTTCTTCAGCTGAAGCCCCCAAGCTCGACGGAGATGAGGAGGATGCGTCCCGCATGGAAGAGGTCGATTAAATAATTTACAGCCGTTCTTGATCTTGTTTGTTGCCAGATCTCAGCCCCTTCCCCACAAAGATCCCCAACGCCCTTTTTGTGTCCCGCTTTTTTCAATTTCTCCGTGCCGAGTTTTTAGTCAATAAAATTTTCCGGTTTAGTAGTTTGAAGAATGCACACAAGAATTCGTACAGCAACATATGCGCTAAATACATCGAACACTATTGATTGCGCGTAGTACAATTGTGAGAAATGTTTTGAAGTGGTTGGGATGCTGTAGGCGATAATAGACATTCTTGCGTAGCGAAGATGGCTCAAGACAGTGGACGGAGCGATGGCGGAAGGGCGCGATCAGTTTTCTGGAAGTTGAATTTTTTGATGATTGCATTTTTCGATTCGCTGTTGTGGGCGCGTTTTCTTCGTTTTCGATTCTCACCGCATGGTTGTCGAAGTCATCGGCAACAGCAGACACTTCTTTCGCGGCGTAGTCTATCGTTGGGTCCCGGTTACTCGTGCCCACATCGAAAACGCGCGAAGAGGCCTCCTGCGATGCGGGCATCTTGTTGTTCACCTGGCGCTGCAGCGAGCTAAAAAGGTCCGTTGCGCTATCCTGAACGGCCTAACCGGATACGGATAACCAGATAGAAGACGGCGACGAGGAGGGCCAAGAGGAAAACCGCGTAGACAGCCATGATCAGGACCAGCGTTACCTGGAAATGTTTGCGAGACGTGACGTTGACTTATTTTTAACCATATAGGCTGTTAATTTAGTGAAAATCTGGACCTTGGTCGTCTCTAGGCCGTGGCCGAGGTCCTTGAGCCCTTGCTTCAACGCTTTCACATCGGGCTCCCACGACTTGTCGATTTTGACCGTCTCATCGGCGCCTAGCAGCGGCAAGAAGGCTAAGGGAAGTAGGCCGGCGAACAGCACCCACATTAGCAAGGCCGTAAATTAGAGATGTCTAGTTTTAAGAATATTTTCGTTGGATGCTAATTGGCTGATGCGAAATTGTGTGAATTTTCTGCAAATTATGCTTCGCGGTTTGCTTTTCTCGCGACTCGCGAGTGCTAGTACTTGGTTTAAACTTTCTTTCTTAAATCCACGTTTTTTAACATCTTAAAAAAACGTTTTTTGAAAGAAATGTAGTAGTTCTAAAAAACGTTTTTGTCAGGTGGGTTTTTTTTGGTTGCCTTTGTGGTACTTATTAATCCGTTTATTATTTCGTTACTTTTCCTATTTCCTTTCCCTAAAGTAGCATTTATAAGGGCGACTCGAAGTCGTGATCCCCATCTCCTTTTCGAGGCAAGGCTTCTCATCAGAATGGACCTAGCAATTTGAGTTTGTCATTTATCTTTTTTTCCATTCAGACCTCGAATCGTTGTAGCAGGTTGGCGAAGAACATGAACAGCTCCATCCTGGCCAGCCCCTCGCCCGGGCATTGTCGCTTGCCGATGGAGAACGGGATCAGCTCCTCAACCTTCTTCAAGCTCCCATCTGCATTCAAGAAGCGCTCCGGCTTGAAGGCGTAGGGTTCGGGGAAAATCTGAGGGGTATTATTTTAAGATTTCAAGCCTTGCTTTGTCACCTTCTCATCCAAAAGCACGACGCTAATCTGCGGGATAACCATGGTGTCCTTGGGAACCGGATGGCCCGCGATTACGACGTCTTCTGTTGTTTTTCGGAACAAATTTAGGGGTAGAAGGTTGGCGACTCGTTGAATTTCCTAAAAAAGACGCGTGTTTTTGCACGTAAAATGCTTACGTTCAACGTGGCATTGATGTAGTTCAGGTTCGGCTTGTCGGCCAGCGTAATCGTGCGATCGCTCTTGATGACCCGGTCCAGCTCGGCGTGAATTTTCTTCTGCACTTCCGGTTCATTGAGAAGATATGCGATGCCCCAGTTTAGTGTGTTGGACGTCGTTTCCATACCTTTTTGATGACAATTATTCATTTTGGGTTTTGCGCTCACCAGCCACCCATAGATCCATCAGGACATTCTCAAGCTGCGCCTCGCTAGATTAATCCTATTTTTAAGGTGGTCCTTGACCCACCTGTAATATCCAAACTCTGGCTCATCCTGGTGTTTGTGCTGCTCCTTTAGATAGCACTCGACAAGGTCGTTACTGATCTAAAGCTGCTTTTTTGAAAATTGAATGAAAAGCATTTTTTGGCAATTAGAGGGTTTTTCAAAAAGATCCAACTCACATCCGAATCATAGTCCATCGTCTTCTTCCTGGCCTGGACCTGCTGATTAAAGAAGGCAAACAGCTGGTCGCGGTTGTTCATGATCCGCTTGTAAACGTCTAGAGACAACTGTCAAGCTTGTTCGTTTCCAACCTCTAATTCCGGGATATAACGCGACCAATATCTGGTGATGACCAAACCGCCAGACGCCGTGGGCCAGCAGCTTCATTTGCTCGCTGAGCAGGCGGCGGAGTTCGGCGAATTCGAGCTGTTTGTCCTAGAGGAAGAAGCAGGCTTGGTTTTCATCCAGGAATCTCCTACTTCTTCAAATCGATACCCGAACAGCACGTTGTTGATGATCGAGCCGACGGCCAGGTCGAATTCCCATTGCGGGGCGACCGGCTTGCCGCCCTGGTT